CCCCCTTCCAAAAAATTTTGTTTTGTTTTGTTTTGTTCTTCAAGAAGTAACAGCTCCTTTGTCTTTCATATTAGCTGTTTTTATTGATGCTGTGTCTTTTATAGCAAATTTTTCTAGTCTAGGTGAATAGTTAGGTACTTTCGGAGATGACTGCTATGGGTGTACCATTAACTTATATAGATGTGGTTACTCAATGGAATGAAGATGATATATATATTCAGTCTGGCGTAACTCCTGGTTTTGGTTCTGCCTACTGATCCTTTGTCCTTGCCTACCTTTCATTTTTTCCCCTTCTGTCTTGTTGTTTCTGGGTTGTTTTTGTCCCATTCACTAAATGAGGCCAAAATCTCAACGACATGTTTTACATTACACAAAGTGTATTCATACAATGATTAACAGCAGCCCCATGTCTGTGACTACAGAAGGTGGAAAAGGCAGTGATACGAATATGAGGAAATTATTCTGGAAAGTGAAACAGGCTGGTTTCTTTTTTAAATGAAGTTAAATCTTTTTTTACTCTCTTCAAAACGAGATGTGTTCAATTGTGTCTTCAGTGTTCAACGTCGGAGAGTACCGGCGGGCCAAGACAAACATGTACCGCAACCATGAATTCTTCAGGGCAGACAACCAGGAAGCTCAGGAGTTGCGCAGGTGTGTATGCTTCACTGAGTTGGTTTTTCTAGCTACTAGTTGCAAATTTCTTTTTTATTGTTTTACTTGGCTGTTGGCCAAAATGCATATGCTGTCTTGTGCACAGTACAGGTAAAATGCACAGTATAAATGAAATGGTAAAAAAAATATGTCATGGATGGACAAATTACTACAAAACATTTCCTCACCCCACATCCCCCACCCACCTTTTCCACATAAAAGACAGGACCAAAAAAGAGACCAAGGCTCAAATACACATGCAGTTGTTGCATATGCTTTTGTCCCTTGTCCCATTGTGGAAACTTGAATCTTGTGGAGGAAATCCAATATCAGTGGGTTTGTTTCATATATACATGTACAAGCTGTGGAGACCCATGGTCTCCGTAGGTTCTTTTTTTGCTGTTGTATTGCTCGTGATAACAAGACAGATCAGTTTTCCCTTATCTTCGCCTGTCTGAGTTTTCTGTTTTCTTATTAATATTAAAGTTCAAAGAGTGGGTGGTTGACGGGTGCTCTGGTGTGGTTTGCTTCTTCTTTCCTATCAAACATCTATCGTCTTTATCTCCCCTCCTTCTTTTTTATGTTTGATACTCTCTTGTAACACCTCTAATCTTCTGGCGCTCATGTGACCTTATGCAGTTGCGAGCGCCTTAAAACCTCTTCTAAAACAAAAAGTTTAAAGACCATTTAAGGCATTTGTATTGTCTTGTCTATAAAGATTAATTTCATTATCTATCTGTTAGCTGATGCATTTCATTCCACTGTATTATCTCATTTTCCCAGAGACATACAATTTTGTTACATATTGGCATTATATTATGCCACTAAAGTTGCATACAAAGTAACTGTTAGTGGCTGTGTAGACATAAGGAACAATATCCCAGATACACTGTCATAATACCGTGGTGGAATATTAACTGCACTTAGAATTGTTTCTTTTACCAGTCAGTTATGTAATACTAAATAAAAGTCTCGGAGCTAACTGCAGGGGGATGGTGGATGCTCTGGTGTGGAGTTTGCTGCTTGTTTCTTATGAAACATCTTCCGGTCTGATCTCTCGTTCTTCTTTTTTGTGTTTGTTACTCGTTTTTAACACCTCTAATCATCGGCACTCGTATGACGTAATTGTTTTGCAAGTGCCATAAAAAGCTTACTAAAACAAAAAGCTGACTGGATTTCAATCTCTTCTCTTCACAGTCGTGTGGCCATGTTGGCCATGGAAGATGCTGCTAAGTTCCTTGAAGAGGGTGGTGGTGAAGTGGCTGTAAGTATCAAATTTTCTGCTCATGTTGGAAACAAAGGCGGAATGTTTCCTTTGTCGTTTAGGCTGTGCAGATTTTGGCTGCTTTATGGGGATCAGAGATAGGGAATATTTACTGTGAGCAAAGTGTCTTGTCATTTGCTTGGTCTTAAATGCTTCCTACTCTGTGTGTTGTTGGACATTGGAAGCCAGCAAAAATAGTGTCATGGTATAATGGCTACTTTTTCTGTCAGTGAGATGTTCTTAAATTGCTTTTAAAAATTAACTTTTTCCCATCAGCATGTATATTGGCTCTTTGGCGTTACAGACAAAAGACATGGGGTTTCTACTTATGATATGTACCAATAAAGAAACCAAGATGTGCTTCTTGATATCAGTTTTCAAAAGAGATAAAATATATTCATTTATTCACCTCAGAATGGATTGTTGAATCTTTGCAAATTAATGTTTGTTATTCTGGTGTTGTACAAGGGGAAATGAATTAAATTCATGCAAAGGAGAAAGAAAAGAAAGAGAAAATTTAGGATTTGACACCTTGTGTCAGAAATGTTTTATAACATATGATTACCTTAGAAATGCATAGTTCTATCTGATATTTTTGGCAGTTTTGAGCTACTGGACCATAAGGTCAGAAACTAAATGTTCTATCTGCTTTATCAAAATCGTAAGATTATTCGGAGTTTTATTCAAGATTTTCAAAGAATTGCTTTCGTAAAAGTTTGACATGTTGTGGAACTCAAAATTTTTAAGGTCAAATTTCTCAAAACCTGCCACTGAGCAGGCAGAACTTTGTAATTCTGAGATAACAATATGTCAGTGGCACGGTAAAAGGTATCTCAGGTTTGTTTTATTTTAATCAATGAATTCCTATTTCCCTGTCTCATACACAGGTAGTGGATGCAACAAACACGACCCGCAGGCGCAGAGATATCCTGGTGGACATCTTCACAGTGCAGAGAAACTTCAAACTGTTCTTTGTGGAGTCTATATGTGAGGAGCCTGCCATCATCGAGGCGAATATTCTGGTCAGTGGAGGCATATGCTTCTAAATTTTGCAAACATGACAGTTTACCAGTTGGAAATAATCTCTCTGTTAAAAAATCTGATTGAATGCAAATCTGCTCTAACTATGCTTATAAGAAAGAGTTAGTAATGAAGTCTTACTCACCTTGCTAGGAAGCTCGGCAAACTGATACATTTTCATCTTTCTGTTGTCTCAGTGTTTGTCTGTCTGTGAGTGAGTGGTCGGCAGGTTCTTTAGTGTGTTTTGCTCCTTCTTTCCTATCAATCTTCTCTCATTCTTATCTCTCCTCCTTTTTTTTTGCATTTGCCACTCCCTTGTGACACCTCTGATTTTTTTTTTTTAACGCTTATATTATTACCTAATTATGTGCCGTAAAACTCCCACAAAAACAATTTTCTGGCTGTTCTCTGAGAAGGGGAGTCAGATACAGTGAACAAAATAGAGATTCAGATAGTAGAGCAAAGGTAATAGTTGTTCTGTTGTTCATTCTTTGGGACATTAAACTGCAATAGTAAATAATGGCTTTTGAAAATGTTTACAATTAACACTTTCTACACAAGCATCTGTATAGTGAGTGCTAGTGGATAATGTTTGAGTCCCTGGGTTAAACAAATTTTCTTTCAGGGGATTGATAAACTGTAAAGTGGTTATGTCTTATTATTTTGTCTCAAGTTATGTGGCCTTCAGGGCTTTAAAACAGGCAGTCTTCCATTCATACATTTACCAAGGAGTACTTTACAGTACCCCTTGACATTTACATATTTATTCTTTTTTTTTTTTTTCAGTCATTCTTTCTTATAACAGACTCATTTTTTGGGTCATTGATTTTATTCAATTTTACATTGTCTTTGACACTAATTTGGTTGAAGGATGCCACTGGAAGTTCGATTTTCTTTTCTTTCCCTCTGTTGTTTCCATCCATCTATTTTACACATTCTCCGCACACCAAGTGACTGTTAGCGCATTGATATGCTTCTCTATACTTAAACGACGCCGAACTTGTTTGTCCTCCGCCAGGAGGTGAAGGTGTGCAGCCCTGACTACGACGGCATGGACAAGAACACAGCGCTGGAGGACTTCCTGAAGCGCATCGAGCACTACAAGGACGAGTACCAGTCCCTGGACTACAAGCACGACAAGGATATCTCATTCATTCAGATCTTCAACCAGGGCGAGAGGTTCATCGTCAACAAGCTCGCTGGTGGGTCTATTGTCTTGTCTGCATTGTGGGGAAAATATTTGAAGCAGAGATGGGGTTTTTATTGGGGGTGTGTGTGTGTGGGGGGGGGGGGGGGGGGTTTTACACCTGAAGGCTATCTCGCTTATTACTAGACCAAATTTTACCAAATTTCACACATATAACAAGCATAGTGAGGAGTCTTAAATCTGCAGTCAAATTTGAGAAAAATGTTTTGTTTCTATGGATACGGCGGCCATATTGGATTTTGTTGACATGTCTTACGTCATGAATACCGCACTTATTCCTCATGGAAATTGATTGTCTTTTTGCATGCGTGTTAACAAACATTAGATCTAAAAATTTGTCTGTTGTTTTTTTCCTAAACGAATTAAAAAGTTTTTAATGAATTTTTTCCTGAGGTAGCATTCAAGTTTGCCAAAAAATCCGTGAAAATCCTCACTCCAGACACCACCAACAAAAATCTATTCCATATATCAAAAATTCAACAGACACATTTTTTAGTATTACGTCTTTTCTACATTCTGTGAAAATTTCATGAAGATTGGGGGAAAAATTGTGGAGTTATTAAAAAAGTATAGAGAAAACTCGCATTTTGAGAAAACGGCTGATAAAGAAAAATAAAATATTGACTTTATGAGGAAATGGTGGTGACAAAGATGCCCAGTATGGGGGAAAATGCAGTTTTGGGGGGGTTCTTATGTGATGAAATAGTTGTAGGAGAGGCTGAGGAAGCTAAAAATGCCTACAACTCAAATTCCATAATTTTGAGCCGAATTGGGACTTTGGGGGTGTAGCCCCCCCTTAAATTATTAGTTGTGTAAATGTTAAGATAACTTAGGGGAGGAAGAGATAGTTGAAAAACAAGGGTAAACTAGGTCTAACAAGAGGTTACTCACTTACATACTTGATTTGAATACCCGTTGTTTTGACGCCAATTTAATGGGTGGTTGGCGGGTGCTCTGGTGTGGTTTGCTCCTTCTTTCCTATCAAACATCTATCGTCTCCATCTCCCCACCTTCTTTTTTTGTGGTTGTTACTCACTTGTAGCACCTCTAATCTTCGGCACTTATATGACCTTATTGTGTTGCAAGTGCCGTAAAACTCTTGCTAAAACCAAACTTACGCCAGTTTCACTTTTTTTTCTTTTCAGGCCATTTACAGAGCAGAGTTGTGTATTATTTAATGAACATTCATGTTTTACCTAGGACGATCTATTTAACAAGGGTGAGTTCCAATGTCTTTGTAAATTTGATAATATCATTCTATTCAATAAGAATATAAGAATTTCTTTAAAGATTTCATCCGTTTTGTCTGAAAATGGTATTTCTGGATGATGACAGTAAAGTTTAATTATTATTTTTCTAATTAATTATCACTTGTATTTCTTGAATAATGAAATGAAGTATTTTAATTCTTTTGTTTTCTTTTAAGAGAATTATACTTACTGACTGTTAAACTTGAATCATTTTGACTTTGATGTACATAAACTTTTCACTCACTTTTGTTCAGTTGGAATCAAACAGTTTTCATTTATGTATTTTACTTAGTTTACAGTATTTTATTTAGTTCTGTAGTATTATTTGCCTGTGAATTCTCTTTTGAATGTTCTTTAATTGTATTTCCAGCACGGAGAGAGCCAAATGAACCTACAAGGTCGTATTGGGGGCAACAGTGACCTCAGTGACCAGGGAGAGATTGTGAGTAATTTTTGTGTGCCGAACAAAGTTACTGGAGCTTAAATTCTCTGTCCTCTTTGAACAAGGCTTGACTTTTAGTATGTGGAAAGGGAAGGCATTGCTGGTCCTTGAATTACAGCACTAAATAGTTAAGAATGTATGATGTCATATGTCACTAAAGGTGTTGCCATTCCTTTATTTATTATTTCTTGATTGGATTTGAAGTTAAAGGTACATGCACTTTGATAAAAGTTAGTTGTTATCTTGGTAGCTGCAGAAATTAGGATGTGATGAGACTTTACATCATCTTCATACACACCTCGAATTTTAAAAATTTGAATGGGCACACCCCCTCTCACACCAGCCCATCCACCGTGCAGGGCTGCACTGAGTTGCGGGTAGTGGTCACGCCTTGGGTTAAGTTAAATATGTGTATATATTTCTTATAAGCATGCAATTATCTTGTAATTTGTATAATTAATAGAATTATTTAGGTTTTATTTTCAGTAGTAGACTTGAAATATACTGCCGTAAATGGAAAGTAAAGGTCCTCCATTTATTTGTCTCTTTTCATTTCATCTCATCTCTTTTGTTCTTTCTTTTATTCACGCATTGTCTGATTTCTAACTGTGGGTGGTTGGTTGGTACTCTGGTGTGGTTTACTGCTACGTTCCCATCAAACACTTATCTTTCTTCCTTCTTTTCTGTGTATGCCACTCTTTAGTGATGCCTCGATTCTTCATTACTTATATGACCTATTTGTGTTACAAATGCCATCAAACTTTTACTAAAACTAAAAAGACTTCTGACTGTATTTGTATTGCAGTACGCTAAAGAGCTGGCTGACTTTGTCAAAAAGGAAAATATTCCAAACCTCAAAGTATGGACGAGTGAGTTGAAGCGGACCGTGCAGACGGCACGCCACATCGACGCCCCAAAGGAGCACTGGAAGGCTCTGAATGAGATTAATGCTGTACGTGAGCCTGTACCTCTGTGCTGCTTTGACCCTCCCAGCTCTGGTTACATCCGCCTCACACTATTATTAGTCTTTTTTTGTGCGTGTATATATATAAAAGTTTGTGAATGGGGACAGTTAACTTACCGTTTCATGGGATTCTACATCCCGAATCATATCGACAGACAAATGTGACCACAAATTGGTTGCATATATCGAAAATCAATTTCGTGGTTTCGTCGGTTTGGTGAACAGTTTTGGGTCTGAGAATTGCACAGAACATGTCATAGGGCTTATTTTGTGTCTTATGATAAGTTATAATTCATTGAGGATGCAGTGGCGGAGCGGTTAGTGGGCTCGTCTCCGAAATGGAAAGTCCGGGTTCAAGCCTCGGTTCGGACACATTTTTTCGCCCCCTCCTGTCCACCCAGCAGAAATGGGTACCTGACTTTGAGTTAGGGAAGTAAAAGTGGCCTGGAAAGGAACTGGCCGCCCTACCACAATATACCAAAGGCCCTGGAAATTGTCTCACAAACAAGGCAATCCGCAATGTCCGGATCGGATACGGGAACAACTTTACTTTTTATAGATCACTGTCTTTTCTTTTTTTTATGATTAGTGTTTTCACTTTGCTGCCTGTTGTCTGCTTTTTGGGGTATTTTTAATCAATAAGAATTCTTCATTCAAAATCAGCTGTTAATGTTGTGCTATGTTATATGTCTGTTGAATGTAGCATCCTCTGTTGTTTGTATGTTGACTTGCTTTTCTCAGCACTGTGTGACCATTGTAGTGTTGCGTATCCTCTGTTGCTTGAACAGACAAAGACTTGGCAATATTAGTAATGATATGACAATGGAATACCTGTTCTTACTCAAAGCGTCTTTTTTTCTTTCCCTCTGTTATTTCTGTTAGTCTGTATTGTATGTTTCCCTACCAGGACTTGCTTCTCTATTTTAAAGATCTAAAACAATCTGAGCAATAAAATCCTCTTTCTGTTCATCTGTTACTTGTTTAAAAAAAACCTCATTGGATGGTATTGGTAGTAGTTGCTCTAGTGATGTCTGTTAATTCTACTTCTTTTTATTCGAATTGACCTTTATCTTATCATGTTACTAGGGAGATGTTGTTGCTGACAGCCTAAGAATTACATCTTTGAAACCTATTGTTATTATAATTGATAATTGCTGTTGTTGTTGTTGCGTTTATGTTGCTATCTAGTTTTTGTTTATGGGAATAGCTGACAGTTGCTGACACGTGTATATATGTGTGTGTGACTGACTTTCAGGGTATCTGTGAGGGTCTGACCTACGAGGAAATCCAGGCACAGTTTCCACAAGATTTTGCTGACCGGGACCAGGACAAATATCACTACCGCTACCCCAGCGGCGAGGTACATGCTCTAACACTGTGGGACATTTAATTTACCTTCACCATCCCCCACTTTGCTATCATCAAGAAAGAGTGGGAAATTCACACCCCCTCGTACTCACTTCTCATACAAAAGTTTCCACAGTTTTTCTGTGCATTATAGACCCTCATCTCTTGTAATTCTGAAATGCATACAGTTTACTCCTCAGTGGAATCTTATTTTGCACTAGATTGCCTTTTTTTAAATTGTAAAAAGCGGTAGATTGGTATCCGCAAGTCGTAATCAAGTAGGATAGACTCTCAGAGTCTGCTTTCATTACCCCTTTCTCTCCGACTCCTTTAGTTAGTAAAAGAGATGGTTATATTTTTTGCTAATGTCTTTTCCTTTTAATTTGAATAGAGAAATTGTGAATGGCTCAGGGATTTGTTTGTATGGAGAATTAAGTGCATGGTTAGATACTGACCCATGACAGGGATGTACTGGATTTGATCACAAGAGGACTATTCAGCAGTGAAGAAAAATGAAAAAGTTTTGATTGTTATTTTCTGACTTCTGTTTGCATGTGCCGTGATTGTGTGTATTAGTTAGAAAGAGATAGAGGGATGGGGAATGGGGTATACACTATTCATTCATGTCAGAACCATGGCTGGAGAGAGTTTTTAAGACCAGTCACTTTACTTTTACCTTTTCCTAAAGGATGCTTAATTTTTAGTTTTTGCTTTAAAAGAATAGTGTTGCAAAGGATGCTCTTCTCAAGCTTGCCTATGTGCTGTGCTGTGTAAGTACCACTTTAATGATGGGACTTTCTGATTTGGTCATGAGTGTTTCTGGGCTTTTCTTTCTCATAATAGTGTTTCAAATTTTGGTCTCAGAATTCCAAAACTGAGTCCTGCGGGTTTGATAATCAATGATGGGTATGAATCTTTTTCTATGAAATTGTTTCAACCATTAACAGCTCATACAATAGACCAATGATGATTTGAAATGAGTTGTCATGTAGGCACATGTTTGTGTGTTTCATTATTTTCAGACAGCATTGGATTTGTTGGGCTTCAAATTGTATTTGCAGACATAATTATTGTTGTTGTAGTAGAATTTCTTTATTTCTGAGCTTCTTCTGTCTGTGAGTTGTCACTGATTTGCATGTAACATCCTGGAAGTTGTGGTAGAGAGGACTCACAGGGAAGTGCTAAAACGTGCACTGTCTTATGTTTGGGTTTATAAATGCACAAAACATTCAGTTTTCAGACATTTTGCTGTGTTGTAGTTTTCAGATAGTGTACTATGTTTTATTTTTTAAGCTTTTGATTTGAACTCCCATTGCTGTTGTAAATATCTCAATTTTAACAGCCATGCCCGCTGCTGTTGCAGGTGCTGTACTTGTGTGTTGTTTGACTGAAGTCTCTGTACAGACATGCTGTTTGTATTTGGGTTATGCATGCTGTGTTCTTTTCATTAATAGCCACTGGACACTTCGTTTTCGTAATGAAAACCTGAACAGATTTGTTTTTGTGTATATGAAAGTTTATGCTTATTGTAATGATATTGCAGATGGTTTGCAGGAGCTCTTATGTGGTTTTCTACTTTTTTCTTATCCAACCCCTATCTTCCTTAACTCTCCCTTTTTTGTGTGTTTGTTACTTTCTTGTAACACCTTTAGTCTTCAGCATTTATATGTCCTGATTGTGTTGCAAGTGCTGTAAAACTTTTACTAAATAAACAGTATTGCCCTTGCTGTTCTCTACAGTCATATCAAGATCTTGTTGCGAGACTGGAACCTGTCATTTTGGTAAGTATCTCATAACAGGTCCTTGTTGGAAGATACAAAGATGTTTGTGCTCATGGACAGAGAGCAACCCTCTGGGGCGGTGCTACTGACTGGAGTGTCTTTATGCCTTTCCCAAAGGGGAGACATTAACATGTTCTTATGCACTGTAGAATTGTAAATGGGCTGATTCATCAATGTTATGCTCATGACTGTGCCTGAACTGCAACAAGGAACTGCTGCTTTTTCTGTCCTAATCCTTACTATCGTCATTTTCCTCTACTTCTTTTTTATGTTTGTCATACTCTTGTGACCTTCTATTTCCGGAGTGCCTTGATAGTCAAAGTAGACTTTGTGCTGTTGAAGCTAGAGAGGTGAGCAGAGTAAAAGATCTGATTCCCTGTAAGGACTTCTCTGTTGACATCCACCCCTTGGCGCTCATATGACCTTCTGCAGTTGCGAGTGCCATAAAAAGTCTACTTAAACTAAACTAAAAATACTGAGCAGTTGATTTGTGTGTATATATGTAAGAGTGTGGATGTGTTGATATATGTGTGGGAGTGTGTGTGTGAGAGTGTGTGTGTGGATGTGTGTGTGTTTGTGTTGACATTTGTGTGTGTATTTACCATGAAGCAGTGTAGCTTTCATGATAATATTGCAGGGCGTTTTTCAAAACTGGTTCAGAAAAAGAAATGAGAAGAGCTATATTAACCCTTGTATTAGCACTTTTCTGGTAAATTTCAAAAAGATTAGTCTCTCCTGTTATGTGCCATTCACGCACCACCTGAAAGAAATTGAGATTATTATAAAGCAAGAGCAGAGGTTTCCTTGTATAAAGTTTATTTGCATTTTAGAAAAATAAATGGGGTTTGACAGAACAAGATCAAGTAAATGTTTTATGCCCTGCAAGTTTCAAAGCTACCACAACATGTCTCCCACTTGTTATCACACACAATCTCATAGTCCGAATTAAAACGATTTCTTCACAATTTAGTGTGGTTGGAAATGAATGAAGATCTGATCATATTCTAATGTAGTAGTATGGAATCCATTTATACTCTTACGTTGTGAATAGTCTCCAAATGGTTTTTTTTCAATAATGTGTCTTGAGATCTGTTTTACAATACACTTTTGCTTAATTAAAACTACAAAAAGTTTCGAGGAAATTTACTCTATCTGTACTTCACCTTATTTCTTATGACCTGTTTGAATGTAATGACCTAACACCCCCCCTCCCCCTACCCCCTTCTCTCTCCCTCTCCGCAGGAACTTGAACGTCAGGAAAATGTGATGGTGATTTGCCATCAGGCAGTGTTGCGTTGTCTGCTGGCCTACTTCCAGGACAAGAGTGCCCGTGAGTGAACCAGACTTACTCTGTTCGGTGACGGCCTCAGAGATTACCCACTTATTTGTCACTTTACTGGCTGGGTGTTTGTTATTTGCAGTTTGTTAACGTGCTCAGATACTCTGTCTGTCCTCCACATGATTTGCTACCCTCAGTTTTTGCCCCTGCCTTTCAAACCCAACCATTCCTGCCGCCCTCCCCTCGAGTTGTCAATTCCTACAACTGCTCACCCCACCCACACTTTGCTCGCCACTGTTTTGTCCTCACTGCCTCACTCCTACTCACCCTACCCTTGCCCTAGCTTTGTCTAATCTCTCTCCCTCCCTGCAATGGAATTACTTGTTTTTGTTCTCACTTTCCGTTTGACTTTGTGCAAGTCTTGAAATATGTGAATTTGCACCTCTTGATCGGTAACGACAGGTGTGAATGTAAGGTGTTCCACAATGAAAACCATGCCTTTGTAGAAATTGCTCCGACCAAGATGAAATGTCTCCCTTCCACAAAAACAGTTTTTTTTTGAGGATTTACATGTTATGTTGGCAGTAAAGGTCTAGTTGAGGTCTCCCTTCTTAAAATAAGTAAAAATCATCTCATACACTTGACGCCATGGCTGCCTCCAATGTTGGCCCGACAAAGAGTGGGAACCCTCGGATGTACATAGTTGGTCTGGTAAGTTGTGAATGGAGACCTCAACTAGACTTTTTCCATGTTGGCTTACTTTCACTCGAAGTTATAACTGGTAGGCCCTACTTCTTTACTTTCCCTCTGTTGTTTCTGTCTGTCTGTCTTACTTTTTCCCAGTACTAAATGACCATTATTAAATTGTTGTGCTTCTCTTTACTCAGACAAACAAACTAACAAACAAATGAACAAACTAATCACCCAGAGTTAACTTACATTCACTGAAAGCCTATTTCTACATCAGATGGTAAGATTAAGATTCTCTGTGAAAATTAATTTTTTTGGTTGGCTTTATTCATTTATTATTGTAATGGATTTTAAAAAAAACTTTTATTGATAGTTTTAACACTGACTATCACTCAAAGCTTATGACTAAAATTGAGCATAGTGAGCTATATGTCTCTTTTTGAGGCGTCTCCAGAAAAAGCTTATGTATTTATTTTCTATGCTTGAAAGCAATCATCATAACACTGCTAATAGAATTCTTGATATGTAAGTGGATTCTATACGTACCGTGTATGTGGCACGATTCTTGGAAATCTATTTACAGTCAAGTATATATGATCACTGTATGATGAGCTATTCTTAACTTTTAATGTTATATATTCATATATGATGCCATTTACTAAACTGGAATCAAACACAGAAATACACCTGTGCTCTTTCCGCCTTCGTTACTCTGCTTCTGAAGGACATTTTTTCGCTGATAATGTTCCGCCTTCTTAATTTTTAATTTTCCTCTTTTCACTCTTGTTATTTTCCTTCTTTTAGATATTATTTGCAGCGCAAAATTTTAATAGTTCAAAGAGGATTTTCAATTTGTGTTGCTTTAGAGAGCATGTATGTGTTAGTCAGGTCACAGGGTAGTAGTGAATTATCTGAAATGTGTCATTGGGGGGAGGGGCTGCAACACCTGCGTTTAATTTTAACATGGGTCATAGTAGTCAGTAATCCATCTTCTACACAGCAGTGTCCTGCCGACACTGAATAAACATCAAGACTTCTTGGAACCGATTTGGTTTCCCTACAGTGAAAACATCAGACTGTTTTCTGTTTGTAGATTAGTTCTTTAGGCTTTGTCTGCCCTAGTTATGGAAGGTGTTGTCGTGTGAGATCAGCTCTATTTTGTGCTGTATTTAAGAGTATGCTCATTCAGCCATATGGAGCCTGTTGCCAGTATGAACACATTTTGACCGTTGAATCTTTGTCAGATAAGCTGTTTCAATTCAGGTTCACAACCTGCTGGTGATAAGACCATGCAAATTTGGGAAAAGAGTGTGTGGTTAATCATAATGTAACTGTTGATTGTGTAATGTTCTCATCTCTGAAGTAAGATAGTGATGTATGAATAGGGCCCAGAAAAGTGTAGCGAGTTCTGAGTTCTAACACAGGAAAAAGATGGATTTTGGATGAAGGGCCTTTTTGTCAATGTCAAAGGCATCAAAAGAAAGAAAAATGAAATGCATTTGCTTAACAGTCAGGATCTATGTACATTGTGGAAAAAGAATTTATAGACTCTAAACTCGTTGGCTATGCATAAACAGTCTAAGCCGTGTTTAAATTCCATGGAAATAGAATTGATAAAAGGCTTACTTTGTCTGGACAAGTCCTCCGTGTTTCAGTGTATGTGGGACTAAACAACTAAACAGCACAAAGTACCTGTCTTTTTCATCACTTGATGTCACTGCTGTACCCGTCTCCCTCTCTCTCTGTCCGTCTCTCTGGCCGGTAGCCTGTTTGTAACTCACACTTGCTCTCACACACACTCACATTTCAACAATATGTTTCTGAACCTTTTCCCGTAATTCTACTTCTAGATTTCTTTCTTTTTCCTTTTCTCTCTATCCCTGTTCATGAATGTCTGGTGATCTTTTGTGTATTTGTGTGTGTGGTCTTCTTGTATATCTGCGCGTGTTGTTTCTGTTTATGTACATATTGCTTGAGTCCGCATTTCTATTTGTCTTTCTTTGTGGTCTTTCTCAGACTTCCTCCCTTTGTACATTTGTCTAACCCTTCTCCTCCCCTCCCTCACCACCGCTCCACCCTTACACATTTACACACTTTTCTGTCCTGGGTAATGATTCTAAGTGTTTCCTGCCTGTCCCTGTCTGACTATATCCATAACCTTTTCTTTCTTGTGTAACTTTGAGCATATCAGTGGCTCGGCGCAAGTGTTTCCCATGTGGGTTAATGACTCAGTGACCTCTCACTAGTGTGTTGTTCTCGCCACTAATTCCCGCTTGTGGATGTGATGATATCTGATGTGTGTGCTCATGTTTGGTAGGCATGGTTCTAACTTTGACTACTCTGTGTCATATATTAATTATTAATACCTCAGCACAACTTTTCTCCTTCGAATTTTGTCAGTCTGAACATTGCTAGTCTGGAGTGCTGTTAAATATTTGTAAAGAGGGGTCAAATAAGTTGGATGTCTTTGCAAGGAATGAATAAGTATCCACCATATGTCAGCTTCCCTCCATTTCTTAGCTCCTGAAACCGAAAACAGTCTCTCTTAAAGTGGATTTTCATGCCTTTATCATTTGTCTCGCTCCATATTATCACCAAGTCTATCCATTGCTGCATTCTCTCTTTATGGTGAAATGTATTCTGAACAACTACATTCATCGAAATACTAGTAGCACTGAGTGTGAGGAAAGGATCAATGATTTGCATTCTTTTCATCTCCTAATGTCTTCTCAGGTGTAGAGTCATTACTAGTACATCTTTCTCCTTCACCTGGAGAACAGTGTTGACCAGGGAGAGGATGGCCCTTGGTTTGAATCCTCAATAGAGTGTTCTGAGTTTTAGTTCTTTTGAGGAGTTTTTAAGGCCATCCAATCATTTGGCTTGGTCCAATCTGAGATGGGCATTAAATTTGGAGGTCCCACCTCTTAACTAACTTTACAGTGTTAAAAGTCTGTTTACCGTATGCAGCAACCAGTGAGTTTTGACTTCAGTCTTCATTGGCACTGTTGTCTGTGATAGAATGGTTGGTCTCATCACCTTGCATGAGAAAGGCATAAGTTGGATTCTCATGTGCCGATTGTATGTATACTGTACGAGTATCTCTGTGTTTTTGCTGAGATGTATCCCATGCAGCCCTTGCTTGATCTTACAGGTAAGGCTAAAGAAAATTGCCTCCTGATTGACCGTCTAAATCTTGTTGACTTTTGGTCGTGGTTATTTGCTACTTGTTCCAATTTTCTAATATTGATGTCTAAAGAATTCCTGTATCTCAAGGGTCTGTCAGTATCTCTATCTTTGCCCTCATTTTATCTCCATCATTCATCATCACCCCTCTATTGCTCAGATGCACACTTGGTGCAAAATGTTTGGCTCATGATGTCAACCAACTTCATTACTGTACTGTGGTGCTGATGACTGGGATTTTAATCCGTGGTGTTTGACTAAGTACACAATCCTATTGAATATAACATTCTGTTGGTGGTTTTGTTTTTTTGTGTGTTGAAAAGAAAATTGTAAAAACTTCATTTTTTTTTTTTTTGGAACTCTAACCTTAACTTCAAAGCCTCTGAAGAAAAATTAAAATCTGTAGAAATTTTTTTTTTAGAACCCGTCTAGATCTATTGGGAAGAGACAGGTTTCTCTACTACTTGAAATAATTCAAAGCATGGTCTTTGTTAAATTATTTCCTACACTCTCTAGAGATTGCTGCATTTTAGGTGTGAATGCTTTGCATCTTTCTGTCTTGTTCCTCTTTTTTCCTTCCTAAATTGTATTTTCTTTCTCATTTTCCCTTCTTTTTGTTTCGTTCTTTCTGTCCTTCCACCTTTCATATTTTCTTTGTATATTTGGAGGGCACCACTTCTAGGTGGGTGGTTGGTGGGTGATCAGGTGTGGTTTGCTTTTTCTTTTCTGTCAAACATCTGTATCGATCTCTCCTCTTTTCTTTGTATGTTACTCCCTAGTAATACATCAAATCTTCGTCACTTATGTGACGTATTTTTGTTGTGATTGCTTTAAAATTCTTACTGAAACCCCCGGGGGCTGTGCTTCTGACTGAAGTGTGTTTAGGCCATTCCCAAAGGGGGAAACATCAACATCTATAGTTCTTATGCACAGTAGAATTGTAATTGTAAATGGGCTGATTCATTAATGTCATGCTCATAACTGTGCCTGAACTGCAACAGGGAACTGCTGCTTTTTCTTTCCCAATTCCTTACTATTGTCATTTTTCTTCTACTTCTTTTGTATCTTTGTCACACTCTTGTGACCCGCTCTTGCCGGGGTGCCTTGACAGTCGAAGCAGACTTTGTGCTGTTGAAGCTAGAGAGGTGAGCAGAGTAAGTCTGATTCCCTATAAGGAT